ACTAAAATATCACAGTTATAAGCTAAAAAAATCTTTCAAACGCAATTTACATGCAACAAGATTTAGATATAGATATTAAATATTAAGTCATTATTATACATTAATATGTAAGTCGCTTTGGATAAAAGCATCTGCTAAATGACTAAATAAAAAAACAAAAAAAAATATTATATAATATTTGATCAGACAGGAACAGCCTTTAAGATGTATGAAAATCATTAGATGTGTCTGAGATGCATGAGCGTTATCTGGCATATTAGACTGAAAAAACACAAGGGCAAGTAAATAAAGATTTAATCTTCATTTTTTGGGTGAACTTCTCGAATAACTCCAGACGATGTCGCGGTGTCCTCCAGCGAATGGGCCGCGCTAAACACCTCGTTAACATCCATCTAGAGCGGAGATCAGGTGAAGACGTCCAGGTTAAAATGACAGGAGACGCTGAGAAATGAGTCACTCATCCATTCCTGTTGCTCCTTTAATAACTTCATCTCTCTGCTCATATCAGAGAAAAAACAAGACTCTCTGGACTCGTCGAGCACCGAAGCAAACCTGACAGGCCAAGCGTTTTCATTATAGAAATGGTTAAGGGCGGGGCGGGCGGGGCGATAAATGTGGGATATTCATACCGAATTTCATTATATTGTTAATGTAGACATGTATTATAGGTATTATAGGAGTAATGGAATATGTGACTGTGGAGCACAAAACCAGTCATAAGGGTCAATTTTCTGAAATTGAGATTTATACATCATCTGAAAGCTGAATAAATAAGCTAGAATAAATTGTTAGGTTAGGACAATATTTGGCTGAGATACAACTATTTGAAAATCTGGAATCTGAGGGTGCAAAAAAATCTAAATATTGAGAAAATCATCTTTAAAGTTGTTCAAATTAAGTTCTTAGCAATGCATATTACTAATCAAAAATTAAGTTTTGATATATTTAAGGTAGGAAATTTACAAAATATCTTCATGGAACATGATCTTTACTTAATATCCTAATGATTTTTGGCATAAAATAAAAATTTATAATTTTGACCCATACAAATATATCCCAGCGACTTAACACTGCTTTTGTGCTCCAGGGTCACAGATAATTACTGTATTTTTCGTGATTAAGTTATAGCATTTGTGCATTTATGCTAAATGTACTTAGACTACTTCATATAAATACATAGAAACCATATAGCAGGGGTTTTCAAACTGTGGGACAAGGCACTTGTCTGCAGCTAAATTTGGGTTTTAATGACACACACACTCACACAGTTCAGTCTAGGGCTGCACGATATCTGTGACCCTGGAGCACAAAAGCAGTCTTAAGTCGCTGGGGTATATTATAGTTGTATATCAGCCAAATATTGTCCTATCCTAACAAACCATACATCAATGGAAAGCTTATTTAATCAGCTTTCAGATGATGTATAAATCTCAATTTCTAAAATTGACCCTTATGACTGCTTTTGTGCCCCAGGTTCACATATAGCCTACCAACATTAATTACGAATTGCAATATTCTTAGTGCGATTTTTGAATCTCAATTAAGCGCGCACGAGTTGTAATAACAGTGAGGGTCTCAGAGCGACGTCATTATATAAAAAGGCTCGGGCATTATTAATCACTCACTTCACTGTGCTATATTCTGCATGAGATTGCATACACCAGAAAATTCAGATGTTATGAAAACTGTTTCAGGTGGGCTATGTTCATTCATTTCTATTGTCTGTTTAAACTCGCCGCTGTTTTCGTTTACGAATTGCAATATTCTTAGTGCGATTTTTGAATCTCAATTAAGCGCGCACGAGTTGTAATAACAGTGAGGGTCTCAGAGCGACGTCATTATATAAAAAGGCTCGGGCATTATTAATCACTCACTTCACTGTGCTATATTCTGCATGAGATTGCATACACCAGAAAATTCAAATGTTATGAAAACTGTTTCAGGTGGGCTGTTCATTCATTTCTATTGTCTGTTTAAACTCGCCGCTGTTTTCGTTCCTTCACATGCATTTGGCTACCAATAAGGAACCGGTCTGTAAAAAGCATTTCACATGTACGCGGCGGGGTTAATTGCAACACTACAAGATTTAAACTACATTTCACTACATTTCCACATTAAAAAAATAGACAAAATTTCCTTGCCATATCATCTTTATATAGAGAACAAAAAGTGCCAGTTCAAAAATCTTTTGAAGACATTGCTGAACATTTATTTAACCATTGCAAAAGTAAATTTCTGGCTGAAGTAGGCTAAACTGGTCATCTCGGTTTTTAGTGTTTATTTCAAATGAGACACATCTGTTTATTATTTTTACCTATTTCAAAATTATTTTAATCTCCGAACTGTTTTAGACAGTTCTGCTTCGCTTCTTATGCTTTGCTAAAACGTGTTGTGCTCCGCTCTCTACACACACACGGAAGATCATGAATGCATTTTCTATATATTACAGATTACAGTTCACCAGAGCGAGTGTGTTTCGAGTTTTTATGGACATGTTTCATATTTTAAAGTCTGTAAACAAAGAAATTAAAACTTAAACATCAGTAGTGAAATTTTACAGTTATACATACTATATTATACAATTATACAGTACTGTAAAATAAAATTATTATTTTTCTTAAATACTTCATTTCTGTCATATTAAACTTTTAGTTAAGATTAAGCTTAAAGTAATTGTTTTTTGATCTCAAATACTTTGGTGGGTTGTGAAATAGATTATTCTTGTCTAGGTGGGTCGTGGAATGGAAAAGTTTGGGCACCACCGCCATATAATTGCATTTTTTACTATGGTATTTATTGAGGTGCTGTATGTGTGGTTTTAACTGTGGTTATCATGATTTAAATGTATGATACTATGGAAGATCAATTATTAATTAAAAAAAGAAAAAAAAAACTAAAACAGTCAGAATGATTAAAATTCACCATATAAAAATGAGGTTGTTACAATATATTAAAATATAAAAAAAATATTTCATTATTTCTTAAAAAACATGTTAAGGCATAAAGGTTTTAGATCATTCAGAAGAAAAAAAATCATAACAAAACGTAAATTATTAATTTAATTCCTAAACACTTTATAGGCTAAAAAAAACAGTTTTAACATGTATGCATTACATACATTTCATAAAAAATTATAAAAAAAACGATTTCTCTATACATACAGTATATATACATATACATAATATATTTAACATATAAAGAGTTATGCAATATAAACATTTACAATTTAAACGATTTGAATTTAAAAACTATAATTTTAAAATACAATTAAAAAATTAATAATTTAATTAAAATATGAATTATGAATCATTCAGCAAAAACATAAATAAAAAAATCATCTTAAAATATTGTTTAATTCTCTTCATAGGGTAAAAATTTACTTTATATTTATTAGCCAAAAGTCCGTTTTAATATGTAAAGGGGATTAAAAAAATACATATATTTAAAAATTAATAATAAAAATAGTATACTATTACATAAAATATGAACAATATAATATAAAAATACAACATAAAAATATAATAAAAATGATAGACAGACAGACAGACAGACAGACAGACAGATAGGGCAATATAAACATTTACAATTTAAACGATTTGAATTTAAAAACTATAATTTTAAAATACAATTAAAAAATTAATAATTTAATTAAAATATGAATTATGAATCATTCAGCAAAAACATAAATAAAAAAATCATCTTAAAATATTGTTTAATTCTCTTCATAGGGTAAAAATTTACTTTATATTTATTAGCCAAAAGTCCGTTTTAATATGTAAAGGGGATTAAAAAAATACATATATTTAAAAATTAATAATAAAAATAGTATACTATTACATAAAATATGAACAATATAATATAAAAATACAACATAAAAATATAATAAAAATGATAGACAGACAGACAGACAGACAGACAGATAGGAATAAGAATTTTTTGGCGGCGCATCACTAATTATTTTCCTCCGCACACGCAGACACAGACACACACACACACACACAGACAGACAGACACACA